TATATATTGTAAAAGAATACAGCATGTGCATTTGGTTGAATGCATTACACTTAAATGTGTTTTGAAAACTTTGTCAGATACATCGAACAATAATAATGGTATAGTATACTAGTGTGTGCAATTGCTTGTGTGTAAGTTAGCATGTAAGTGTGAGACACACTCTAGGAGATGGACAAAACCACCGACCTAATGCGATTTGGGATATCAATGCTTAATTTTAACGTGGGTGTTAAGAACAAAAGCGCTTGTACAGAATCTATTTTTATTACCATAATTCATATACTAGTACTACTATACATCACAAGTTGACCTGCTTTCTAATCATATTAGCAAATCAGATACGCACTCGCCTGTTCGGAATGTTGAATTTGAATGTTAATGATAATCTTGTTTATCGAGACAATCCGGCACGTCGGTTTTCTCAAAACACATATGGTCTTATTGAAGCGGGACTTAACTATCATGTTGAATGCAGAATGTAGAATTTAAATTGAGTATGAAGTATAACTGATCTTTAACAATAAAGGTTGCGAAATCCATGCGAAAGTCACCATCTCCATTTTCATATTTTGGATAAAGAAGGGAATATGTTCTCTAATTTTGACCTTTTAACCACAGTTAGGTAAAACAAATAACCAAAGTCATTCTTCAGTTTACTCGTGCTGTATAAAAGTATAAAACAAAAAATATGAGCTGATGAAAACAACGCTCGCGACATCACTTCATAAGACAACAAGCCATGCATGACACAGTCCCCGTTAGTTATCAAACTTAAGATATATAGTTTTGTTTATAGTAATATAGTTCAAACATAAAGAAGTCAGTGATATGGATCCAGAAGCTGATGCTTGGTTATGATGATTTTTTGATGATTCCTTGTATTAGATCGTCAAACGAGTACTTGTTCACATTGTGACACATTACTCTGGAACAACATGAATAAAACAAAGTTGCCACTGTCCGGCCATGTCTATGACATGATTTATAATGAATATATCAAATTTGAACATAATATGTCAAAGCATGGCAGATATATGTCACTGCATTCGGTAAAACAAAATGGCCGCCAGTCAGCCATTTTAAATTCGATCTAAAAACAGTTTGACATGCATCAAGGTCATGTAACGTCCAATGTATGTACCTAGTTTGAACAAAATCCATCCATAAATACTCGATTTTGATGATTTTCATCACAAAAATGGCGGCCATTGGGCCATCGGATCGTGGAGCAAATGAATGTGCATATGTATAATATTATGTATGATGTATGTGTGAAGTTTGAATGTAATCGGTACAGGCATGTCTAAGATATAGGTCTGGACGCACGGACGCACGAACACACGGACGAACAGAGGTCAATCTATATGTCCCTCGTTTCGAACAGAGACTAACAAACATTGCAGTTTGTTTGTAACAAAGCGTCGAACACAAAACAGGTCGTTATAATTGTCATTTAACCATGTAACGGGACATTCCTACGTGGTAACCCGACACTAATGCCTGGACACTTGTCGCAATAGGTTTTATACAAATTCGACAACAAAACTCGACGATACAACGTAGTAAACAAACTCGTGTTTGGTGATTTATCAAAATAAATATCCGTTCATTATAACAAAATATACAAACGTCTCTTTGCAAATGCTGAGTGTAATTGATACAGTTGTAGTCATATGCCGATTTTAATCGTTGTCTGTGTATGTATATGCGGAGTGTAATCACCACAGAAGTGATCTTATGCAAAGTGCAATTGCTATACTTGAATTTGTGTGTAGAGTGTATTAATTTCCGATTTATAATTGATACTAGTTAATATAGTTACAGTCACATGTAGATTGTGAAGTTGTATTTATATGCAATGTGTAGTCGTTACAGTTGTATTATTTTGCAGTGTTATCAGTATGGCTGTATTTATAATCAGTGTAACGCTACAGATGTATTCATAAGCAGATTATAAGCCTCTACAGTCGTAATCATATGTAGGGTGTTACAGCTCTAGTAATATTTATATGAAGAGTGTAATCACTACAGTTGTATTCATATGTAGAGTGCAATCACTACAGTTATATTCATATGCAGAGTGTTATCACTACAATTGTAATCATATACAAA